CTGTGTATACATACATTTCTAGACTTGGCTTTTACACTTTTGGGATTTCCTACAAATGTATGATCCATGGGATGGTACGTATATTATACAATATTGGACTCCGTACAACATACGCTTATCTATTTGCTTATGTGGCGAGTGTTTCTGATCTCAAATGGAATATGTGACTAGTATCAACTCAACCATGAGAACATTGAGACCATTATAATTTGAACCAAATGATAGTTTACATTCCGTACATATGTATATGTACCTAATTATTTTCTTAAATCTGATTCGCCGATCGAATAAAATTAAACCTTAGAATATCAACTTGAGCTCAGACCCGTGGACGATTGGTCACCAACGTATTCTCAGTTCCGATTCCACGGCTCCCAAGCGACAAGAACCACGTCTTTACTTTCCACAACCCTATACACTTGGTATTTGATCCTTTGATCTCCATGATCTTCAATTCGTATTGCTCCTTTCATCGTGGTTTTAATTCAGCATCGACTTTTTCTCCCTCTTTTTTTTCTACTCTGTTTTAGTGTTTGAGCGGCTGATTTGCCACCGCAATACAAGTGTCTCAGAAGTAGTCGATCAGTCCTACATTTGACTTTCCACTGCCGGTTATTCTCACTGTGGCAGGCAAGCCATACATATACTACATACAAAGTTCTCCGATACTCCGTACTCCGTACACCGTAATGGATTGTATCGCACAGTGGACACTGTTCCACAAGAAAACCTGAAAATCTTCCACAGCCACAAAACTGAACTCGCTAAATAACGTTTGAAAACTCAATCGTTATAGTCTATATTTATCTTTCCATCTCTAGTCCTATATTCAATTGAGGTGGTTGCCCAGAATCCAACCTTGAGCAGAGATATATCCCAATAAACATCATTAATTACATATCAACTCTAACCACAAATTACGTTTTCACAACTTGAACTATGTATGGATGTATATGGATACACCAGCTGATGTTGTGTATGGATGTATCTGAATACACCAGCTGATACTGTGTATACATACATACAGAGCTAGTAACTCTGTACGGAGTATTCGAAAATGATCTCCACCGTTAGACGCAATTTCATCTTGTCCACACATACTAAGTGGATCACCGATTGCTTTTTCTTAATTCTTTCGGAGAGCCTCGACCAAGAGGCCTGCCGACAATATTGTATCCAATACTGAAGCCACCAGCACAATCAAGAAAGTGTTTATCAGGTATGCTGTGGCACCTTGTAGCGGTTAAAATAGACACTTACATCGCAGACTGCAGCATTATTACATAGTTTGCAACAGGGTAGGTGTTTGTACTTTGTATACCCTGATTCCGGCGGATGCAGCATTGCGCAGGAACGATACATCAGCTGCATGAAGGAAACCGATCTTCGACATCTGATATTCGTTTTCCCCCTGTAGATTTTCACGGTCTATCCACCTTACTACAACATACGTCCTGTGGCCTTTATTGGCACTATCATCAGTTACAAGCTGGCATCTCGAACAGGCCGATAACGATCGTATACAACATAGTATTATACTATCTAATGCAGCCAAAAATAACCTGTCGACGGAGAGATTGGTCTTAAAGGGCCTAGTCAGCGATCACTAGCCGGCAGGCGTGCCCTAGTGTCGCACATTTATTGTACTAATATTACTACGTATTGACCCGCCACCTTTTGAAATGTATTTCATACACCAGCACAACACCCGTGGATTGTGGCTGAATATTAAACAGATGATCATAATTATTTATGAAGACAGAATACCCCTTCTATTTTTTTTTTTAAGAAAAAGGCTGGCCTACACCCAGGGGAAGCGCTGGCGTCGATGGCTGCTGGTATTAGTGTTTCTAGAACCCCATACAAGCTCTTCGATGATTATTTTTGGCTCTTGCCCCTGAATTGGGCGTTTTTACATGCAACCTTAGCACTGACCTCCCACGGAAGGATTTCGATCTCCAGTTTATCATTGATTATTAAAGCGCATCTACTCCGTACTGATTACATATCCATATGTTGTAGAAGCTGACCGCAAGACATCGAGCTCTGATTTGATTTAAGTAATTAGGGGGCTGTGACCCCCAGACAGCCCCCTTCCCCCACACTTTCCATCTATCTGCATAATGATTGGAAGCCAATCCCAACCCCTGTTTTTGAGGTCGTCGTTGTGCCCATATACAACATTCAGGGCACTGGAAGCGCCGGAGTGGTGATATGGTGATGTTATTGTAATAATTTCTACTTGAAAAGGCTTGCCGCACCACATGATTTGTACATTGTATAATTATGTACTCCGTACAACATGCGGAATAGTTAATTGAATCAGCGTATAGTTACGTATTATCGTAGCCAACTAAACCCTGGAAGGCCATGAGGTTAAGTAACCGGAATTCCCGTCATTTTGAATGAGCAGTTCATAATAACAAAGTAACACGTACAACATATGTTACCCTGACAATATTGCATAGTTATGCAGTGTGGTGTTATATCTTTCCAACACGTTTATACAAAGCTTTGCCGTCGTCTTTAGAGGATAGTTGTGTATCAATAATAGCAATACTCATAAGATATATATATATATGTATGTACCAACCATTAAAACTTACATTAAACAATCAAATAACGTTAGTATATGCTATATCCCAAATAGTAAAACATATTCAGCGCCTAAATATTGCTTTTTATTTGGTTTTGTTTCTTTGTGAAGTTTTCGCTAGCAATTGTATATCACGGGCCTGTACAACAGAACAACATATTCAAGTAGAGTGATTACTTCACCTCTCCCTTCTATAATACACTCTTTCCCTACATCATATTCATTAGGACTAGTAGAACAAATTCATCCAAAAACTCCAGGTAGCCACCTTTTTCATGGAGGGCTCACTTCATTCATTATTTATTTCTCTCATTAATATATTAACACCGCATCATCTGCGCCCAACTTCTACTGAAGCTATTTTGCATAAATAATTGAAGTGAACAACGAGTTATGTACTGTACAACTCCGAGCCGGGGGTAAGTCAGTGATGCCAAGGCCCTCTACATATGCAGGGACGATTGACATAACCTCTCCCCCAATCACAGATTATATCTGGGTCTCTAGTGTATATACTCAGATCAGATTCCAGATTTTTGTAACGAGCAAAGCAGACAATCTCCACTATGTATTTTCTGGGAGGCAAGGGGATGTCGATCTTCATCGGAATAGCGATGGAATGGCCTCCATCAACGTCACTTAGGCAAGTGTCGATCCAAGGCCTAACTAATCCAACTTCGGCTGCAAGTTACGCGGTACAATGTAGCTGCTCTGTTTATCAGCATGCTTCGGAAGTTCATCCATTCCGAGTGAGGCTGTACAGCTACCTCTCCACTCCTTGCTGCAGGTCCAGCCTAGCGGTGCTTGAGACTTCCGAGGCTCTATTCATGCATTAATCTCGCATGAGACAGTCTCTGGGCTACATGTGTTCGCTGTGTTGATTATGATAGGACATCGTCGAGCTGGAGATAGCTTGTTGTTGCCCCCTTCTTCATCTCTTCCTGGTCTGGTGTCTATGTGTACCTGTAACCCGTCTTTGCCAAATGGTATTATTTACAGAATATGGCTTTCCTGACGTCATTGTTCGGTGCACAGCATTGTCACTAGGGCTTGATTTCCACCTATCTAAGATTGTTGCTAGGGCCTTATATATATAAATGGCGGTTGGCGTTTGTTTGTCTTTTTACAATGCTGAATATTATCTACATAGATCGTATTGAGTCTTCAAATTGAGGACAACGGCCCTACAGTGGCTAGTATTGACGTTGGCAGAGCTTATTGGGATTATTGATTCTATGTATGAGTGGGCTGAACGTATACAATATATCTTCATATAGTTATCATAGATTCTATACAGAATGCACCTTCATCCATGGCATACTTGTGTTGCGGCTGCTGTCCCTATCCTCACGATACAGAGCCTAATTTGGAGCAGTATATAAATGTGATCTTTATAAGTTAATATACTAGTATTCTAATTTATTATTTGCTGGGTGTGGTTTTTGTTGGTGTAGTGCCTACTATCATATATATATACGCCGCTATAGTTGCGCCCGATAGTTATATAACCACAACTTAACAACAGTCATAATTATCTTTTTCTTCCTATAAGTAATAAGTCAAAAGAACAACTGCATACATGTTCATCCTAATAATATGTAACTAACATCAGGATACAAACAACATTAAAATTATTTTAGGATATCGGAGCCTGAAGTGTTCCGGATGACACAACAAATGCGGTAGGACCACTATGAGAATAACATATTAGTGAACCAATGCACTAAATTTCACAAAGTAGGCCAACTGAACTTGCATAGTGTAATCTACGAGTAGTTTCTAATCTGGACCTCATCTAGACAGCCCTAGGGAGGTCTATCAACCTTGGAACACTCGGGAAGTCCCGACGTTGGGAGGTCCATGGGTAGGGCTATAATAATGTTTATTTTCTCATTCAGTGCTCCAAGGTTGGTTCACAATACAACAAATAGTGAACCCCTCACAACAACAACCCGGGCTTACGACCTGCAAGCTTAGATATTGACGTGTGATTGAGGTGGCACATGCAGTTGCGAGTTGCGGGTTGCTCACGTTGCCGTGCCAACGCATCCGTTGACAGCTGAACAGCCGGAGCAACATGGGACCAACTTTTTCAAACTATAACGAAAACCACCGGGCCTCCAGGACTGACCTGCGCAGCGCAGAAACAGTGTCTTATCTCATTTAGAGATATTGTTATCATTACCACCAGCGCCCGTAAAGGTTTTATTAACGTATTAAAAACCACGGGATTGTGTATTGCCTTTAGAACAACATCGCGACCATGGCAAGAATCAACACAGCCAATCCCCTGGTCAAAAACACGCCTCACAAAGAGACCATCCCACGCACCATAGGGATATCCCACAGCAGCCCGCCGTCTAGAAAGCCATGTTCCAATTTCGGAAACACAGTTAAGCACATTATGCCCACTAAGCCGCAAAGCCAGTCGCGACGGCAGGCAAACGGCTCACGTGGATCATTTGATATATTACCCGACAGCGATTCGGCATCGGAAAGTGAACGTGGACCGCACAGGTCTACTGGAAAGCAGCAAAAGCAAAGAACACTGGGACTCGCACGTGTGAACTCCTTACTCCTACCTGCGAAGCGGAGACCACGTCCAGCCATCCGAAGAGAGACCGAAGACTATGACAAGGAGAACGACGTGCCAGAATACGCCACGGATGGATATCGAACTCCAGATTTAACACCAACAAGGCCGAATGCCTCACAACCTCCAAGAACCAGGATGGGTTACACTGCCGCAACACAGCCAGTGAATGATCACCAAGAAGAACAAGAGGAGCCCGAAATCAGCTTGGAAGAAGAAGATAGTTCTGATTCACTAGACGGGTTTATTGTCAGCGACAATGACGAGTTCAGCTCCTTTGAGACTTCAGATTCTGAGACGCCCGACACAGAAGAGGAACCTAGCCCGGCTCCATCACCTGTCAGGTCGCCAAGAAAGAAACTCATGCGTGGAAGAAGACCAATACAAGAAGCAGAATCAAACCCTGTCACGGATGAGGAACCGTCAATGGTACCGACGAAGGCGGCGATAGAACTGAACCGATCAACTGAGAAATCCAAGGCACTCGCCCCAACACCTGAAGACTGCACACCAAATCTCGCAACCAGTTCCAAATCTACATCCCCTATCCGTAAAGCGGAAGTACCCAAGCAACACGTCGATTCAAGCTATCTTCTTTATTCCGGCCTCCAAAACACCAGCGACCTCATCCAACACCTTGAGGATCTTGATCTGGACAGTGACAATGAATCTACGTTGCAAACACAGCAAGAATACCCCAAGTAAGTTTGCTCAGGGTCGGCATTAATACGCCCTTCTAGCCTCACAGCAATTATTCCTGCTAACTACTTCCCACAGCTCAGAATCAGAGAATGAACCACCGTCGAAACTACACCCAAGTCACAAAAGCCTACCACCGGTGACACCGTCGCACGCGAACTCTGATATTTCTATCAATCGCGCTCGCACATCGGTTGATAGTTCGCCGGCAAAGGATATTCCCATGACTATAAAGGCCAAGAAACAGGCCGAGGCGGCGCGCAAACGTGAAACCCGAGCCCAACTTGCCGAATTCAACCAAGGAAAGATCGGCTTTGCCGAAGAGTTCATCCGACACCTTGACAATGCCTTCAATAAACAGATTGCTCGCATGACCGAGGAAACCGGCGGCATCAAGATCATCTGGACGAAGAATTTCAGAAACACCGCTGGCCGAGCAACCGTACGTTCGGAAAAATTCCTCAGAGGAGAAGCCGGCGTAGAAGAACCCGGGAGACGGCGTTACTATGCCACCATTGAGCTCTCCGAGAAAGTCCTAGACACCGAAGACAAGATCCTCTGCACGGTGACACACGAGTACTGCCACCTCCTCGATATCATGGTCACTGAAAACAGAGCCAAGGGAACGGCCCAGCATGGTGCCAGCTTCAAGCAATGGGGTGATCGCTGCGTCCGCGCACTGGAAGGTCATCCCATCTACGGGGGTCGGGTTGAGGTCACGACTAAGCATACCTATGAGATCAACCACAAATATATCTGGGCCTGCAAGGCCCAGGACTGTGATTTCAAGGTCGGGCGACACTCGAAGAGCGTTGACCCAAAGCGTCATTTCTGCGGCCGTTGCAGAGGTGGCCTCGAGCAGATCCAGCCGGTGCCTAGGGCTGTGGCTCCGAGGGCTGTGCCGCCTAGGAAGCCTGTTGTCAAGGCGGTTGTTGCGGGTGAGCAGAAGGAGATTGTGGTCATAGATCCTTGATATTCAATGGATCTGTTATGCCTGTAAATAGCTGAGCATGGCCAGCAGGGTTATAAATGGGCCCAATATAATGAATACATGCAGTTCTGGATAAGTTATTGATTTTCCTGGATTATAGTTCCAAGTAGGAGCTTCTTGTGAAGTATGTTGTAAACAACTTAGCATTGTTGCTCCCGCCAGCCTAGTGTGATTTCAAATCAATTAATTAAACCTGTATTCAAACACGATACAATAGAAACAGATCGAACCTGAAGAATTTCAACGATGAATATGCAAACGTGAATTCTTCATAACGGTTACCATATTTGGGTTAACCTCCACCGGTGGCACGGTGACAGGCATTGATGAAGCTTACGCTGCCGACCAATCAGACCAAGCCATGTTTTCAAGCGTTGTCTGCTTTGGGTTTAGTCTCCGCAAAGCTTCCATAACATAGTTATCAAGATATTGAATGCGATGGCGAGTCAGAACTCCGAAGGCTGTATAAATAGGAATCTTTCTGCTTGGAAAGAATAACAGAAACACTCATTCTTTGTCATATTCTCACATCTCGACCAAGTCCCCATAATGGCTTTTGGATATAAGAAAGTCCTGATCATCGGCGCCACCTCCGGGATTGGCAAAACACTGGCTGACAAAGTCGTCCAAAATGGATCAAAATTAATTGTCGCCGGTCGCAGAAAGGAGAACCTCGATGAGATCGTCCAGCGATATGGCACTAACAAGGTCTCTGCAAAGGCATTCGACATCATGCAGCTCGAGCAGGTAAAGTCACCCATGCCAAACGAGATATGTCCCCAACTAACGTCCAACGAAACCAAAGATCCCACAATTTGCCTCCGAAATCATTTCGGAGAACCCCGATCTTGACTGCATCTTCGTCAACTCGGGTATCCAACGACCCTTCGATTTCTCCAAGCCGGAAACCGTCGATCTGGACATCTTTGACCAAGAACTTACCACGAACTATACATCCGCGGTCCGCATAACCAAAGCATTCCTCCCACACTTGCAGAGTCAGAAGACCACAACAGCCATCGCATTCACGACGTCGCAGATGGCGCTCGTGCCCATGATGCGATGCCCGAATTACGGTGCTTCAAAGGCTGCTCTGCACCATTTCATCCTTGCTCTCCGCACCCAGTTGCAGAGTGGTCCTGGGGATGTGAGGGTTCTGGAGATTTACCCTCCGGCTGTACAGACTGAGCTTCATGATGCTAAGCATCAGCCTGATTTGAAGTGTGGACATTTGATTGGGATGCCGTTGCAGGAATTTGTTGATGAAGTTTGGGATCGGATCTCAGAGGGCGAGGATCAGATTCCTATCGGGTCTGCGAGGGACATTTATACTGCGTTCGAGGTTAAGAGGCAGGAGTTGTATCGGGATATGACGGAGTTGCTTTCTGGGTTGTTGAAGCAGTTTTTGAGGTAGGAGCTTTGATGTTTTGTTAGATGGATACAAAGATTATATCTTTATAGATATCGGACTCGTGTTATTCCTTTTCAGCTGTCGATATAAAAGTTCACAGGCGGAGATGGAATTGAGAAGACAGCTTGCCCTTTACAAGCCGCCAGTATCAACCCACTGAAACCAGAAACATCATGAACACGACCCGCAGCCAATCCATTCGACCACTCATGTAATGAAACCATGGAGCCCTCAGAGTCCGAAAGTGCATCTTGCCACGCTGTCTCAGAATTCTCATCCCACAAATTCGTCCGTAAATCAAACGGCAACGAGTCTATAAACGGTGTCCGAACCGAATAGTTCCTCGTATTCAATGAGTAAGCACTGCGCAGCATGAAGCAGACAATAATCGTCCGTCGAACACTCTCAGCAAGGAGCCAAGCACATCGAGGACTAAGGGTTCGCGGAAGTTGAATAGGTGCTTGTTGCCACAGTTTCCCAGCGATTCCCGCCAGCATCGCACTGATAGCTTCTGAATATGGACTCGTATTGCCATCTTCATTGAGAACCAACATACATTGGATCAACACCAAAGCTTGGCTGCATGCCAATAGTTCTTCGAATGTCGCAGCGTGGCTTAGTCGGTGACAGAGATCTGCTGAGTATTGCTGGAGCATTGACAACAGAATAACGTTCACGCGACCGGTTTGCATATTAAGTCTGCAGATATTGTGGACCTCACGAACAGCGGTTGGCAGACCATTCGGATAAAGATCAGGGTGAATGAAAATCGTCTTCCCGGTTTCTGCAAAATTGACCGGTAAATCCCGCAAGCCGGCAACGAGGAATTGAATGATATTGGGATCATATTCTTTCGCGATTTCTAATTGCAGGGGTGCATGTATTTGTGGTGTGGGAGTCACGTTCACAATTGAGCGATTAAGGCCCACATACCGACCAGAAGATGTTATTGTCAGAGGTGCATTCACATATTCACAGTTGATGTCTTTGCCTAGACATCTGCTGCATTGGGGCCAGCCTTGGTCACATCGCCGCTTGCCTTTGATGCAGGCTTGGCATGACCTGCGTAATGTCACTTGCTTTGAACGATCAGGCATTGCTCGGGTACTGGGCTATTGATATGCCGAGGTTAAAGAAACAGATTTGTTGGTCAATTTCCCTCACTAGTCCGTCTCCGTGGAGATTAGTAATATCACCGTGCAGGTTCATGTCAATCCAACATAGGGATACTTGCATGTCTTGTTCAACCATACTCAGACATGATGCCTCCTTTTGCTATAGTATAAGCAAGAATACAGACACTTTGGGAATGTCTGCTGACAACCAACTAATATTGTTTGCCTGAATTCCAAGGCACGGTCTTCACTTTTGAAGCATTTGAACGAAAGCGAACTTAGCAGCTTGCATATCCCGTGAACACACCTGGGACTGAGAAGACAGCAAACATACTCGGCATATTCAAATAAGTGCTTGTCCGGATGTAGACTTAGGGTTATCACTACCTCTTTTGGAGTTAGAAATAATGTGCCAGCCCCCAAATTACACCAATCATGTTGGTTCTCTGAGCCGACACTAAGAAACTAAGAACCACTTGACGGCATCAAAAAAAGAGAATAGACTGGAGGCTCCTCTCAACTTAGCCAACTGATAAAAAAAAAAAAAAAGACCAACATGCAGTTTTTATGCGCTAATAGCAAATAACAAGTTTTAATATAATGCAGCCGTGCGTTGCTAGTTCGTATATTTCATATCAACGCCGGGGTTAGCCCTGAATGGGTTGGTCTTGGGAGTTCTGCAGCTTAGGGTACATCCATTCCCAATTCGGATGTGACAATACGATGCGGAGAAGAGTAAGTCCCACCAATTTCTAATTGCAGCCCGTTTTATCCCACAGAAATACGTGACATCCCTTGCTTCTGAGGGTAGACTCTCGTGTTTAGGGCTTATATAGAGAGAGAGCCTAGATGTCTTTTACCTTAGACTTTCTGTGCGCCCTTCTAAATACCCATATAGCACTCGGAGCGAGAAACAATGTCAACCTTCACAGAGAGGACGGACAATTACCCGAATCTGAGTCGTCCACTTGGATCAATGAGACCAGAGTATGATGTCGTGATTATAGGATCCGGATATGGCGCTGGAGTAGCGGCAAGTCGAATGGCTCGAGCAGGGAAGAGCGTCGCCGTGCTAGAACTTGGCTGGGAAAGAAGATGTACGGATTGAGAGGTTTCAATCAAAACATCATCACTAACATTCCCATAGCCGGTTCATTTCCCCATACGTTTTCTCAATGTCTCCAAAACACGAGTATCTTGGGGAGTACTGCAAGGAGCTCCTTCATCTCAAAGTGGCTATCATCTAGAGACCCCACGCGGCTTTTTCAAGTATTTTTGGGCGATGGACAGCATTCTTTTGCAGCTCATGGTAGGTGAAACTCATGACCCAGAGATCATGAATACCAAAATCCAACAGCTTCTTTTTTTTTAATTTCAATCATAGGACTTGGAGGATCTTCATTGATCAATGCCGGAGTTTTCCTAAAAGCGGATGAAAGAACACTTCAGATGACTTCATGGCCGTCGGAGATCAGGAATGATCCATCTACACTCGATGAATGTGAGTTATCCATGAATATGGAGAATATCTCACAATCTACAACTAAATGCAGACTACACACGCGCCGAAACAATGCTGCAACCTTCCACATATCCGGATGATTCAACCGCAAGCAAACTCGAGCATCTTCGAGAAGAGTCAAGATGGCTTGGAGAGAAGAATAGTTTCTATCGAGTACCGCTGACCATCTTTTTCCATAATGGCCGCAACAGGGCAGGTGTCCCTATGCAGGCAAATAGACAATCAGGCCATGAGTGCACAGGTCTCAATGACGGTTCAAAAAGCTCAGTGGCGACGACTTATCTTGCAGATGCCTGGAATTGGGGAGCTGAGATATTCTGCGGCTGTGAAGTTCAATTTGTAGAAAAGACGGATGGAGGAGGCTACACTATACACTTCGCCTGGCATGGCAGTGGGAGGTCTGTGTTTGAGGATCATTTTAAGGAACAACTCTTCTGGGTCAAAGCAGTAAGTATTGAATATAACCTTCCGAAATTGATATCTCAACTGACTCTGTCTATTTCAATCACAGAAGGAATTCTGTTTTCTTGGGGCCGGTGCTTTAGGAACTACTGAAGTCTTACTTCGGTCGAAGCAGCATGGCCTTCATATGTCACCGCTTGTTGGAAGAAATCTCTCTGGGAATGGCGATTTTTTGGTATTCGGTACGTCCTTCTCCAGAATATAAATCCAGGACACAATTTACTTACAGATTCAAGGTTACAATGGTGGTGCCAATATCAATGGCATCGCCCGTGAATCTTCGCATGCTCCCCCTGGGACAACCGTCACGGCCGTTATTGACAATCGAGTCGTGGATTCACTGAGCAATCCTCTGTCTGGATATGTTATCCAAGATGGTTGTATTCCTGAGATGTTCAATCCAGTCATCCAAATCATGCTAACCCTACAGACCATGAAGAGCCAGGCGCTATGTTGTCTATGGAGCCCTCGCCGAGAAGCCAGGAAGACCATTGCCTCTCTCAAGTCTCTCCTATTCGGCCCGTATGCATACAATGGATCTCTTCAGCGAACTTCAACTTATCTTGTGATGTCTCATGACAGCAACGAGATAACGTTGACCTTGAAGAATGATCAATTATGCTTGAAGGGTCCGGCGGAAGGACGATCTGAGCATTTCAAATGGATAAAGAAGATGTTCAAGGAGCTTTTTGCTCGCACAGGAGCAAATATGGGATTTTCTTATCATTACGGTAAATGTTTATCGAAGCCACCACAAAGCCCCGCTAAACATAGCCAAAGGTCGCCACCAGGAGGAAGCTACAGTCCATCTACTTGGAGGAGCCAACATGAGCAACGATGGAACAGGATATGGGGGTGTAACAAATCATCTAGGAGAGGTCTTTAGTGGCTCTAATAGTGAAGTATACGATGGCCTCGTGTGCTGTGATGCATCTATCATACCGACAGCCCTAGGTATGTTGAAACGAGAGGCTTACGGCCATGTGCTAATTCTGACAGGTGTGAACCCGTTGGCCACAATATCCGCCCTTTCCGAGAGATCCGTCAACTTGATCACTGAGAGATCTGGATTATCAATTGATCTAGAGACCAACAATCAGCCTTTGGATGCATACAGCAAGCCTAGTGTATCATGGGATTCCCAAGGCCAGCAAGACACCAAGAAAGGGCCCCAGTCCATAGGATGGCAGTTTACAGAGATTATGCATGGGTATATTAGTATGGGGTCGGAGATCGGAGATTTTGCACTTTCTGAGAGGGCAGGAAAAGGCTCATCTTGCGTGATGCGGATGTTTCTTACGGTCGAACTCTGCCGACGCAGAGGTAAGAAATTGAGAGACCTCTCTAGCAGTAGAATGCTCACATATACAGATTTACAATACCAAGGAACATGCACCGGGACTATTTCTTGTTATGCATTATCCAGAGCCGCGCTCAAGATTGTCGATGGCACGGTGGACTTTTTCACGCCCCTAGAAGATAATGCCGAATCATCAGCCATTTCATATCACCTGAAGCTTCTTTCGGTAGAAGGCATACAGTACCACTTCGAAGGGCATAAGCTCATCGACTCGAACATAGCATTCTCCGCCAGGAAGACATGGCAAGCGACAACTACGGTGAACGTGAATATCACTCGACTGGATGGGACGAATGTTGGAACAGGGGCCATTCATATCTCATTGCTAGACTTTAAAAAGCAGATGAGAACGTTTCGGCCGACAAAAGTGTTTCAGATCAGTCTCATCTTGACTCTGATGTGGTTTTTGCTTTCTTTTGTGTACCATATCAGTCTCTTCTTCTTTCGCCCTTTCGTCCACATGCGCTTCCCTCAGATCCCAACCAATGTCACCGGTTCAAAACAACCGCCTTCTACCTCTTGCAACATCACAACAAGCGATGGCGTACAGGTACGCCTAGATACATACGACCCACTTCCTATACAAAAGGCAGGCGAACCAGGACCCAACTCCAACCTTCCACCAGTCATGCTTTTACCCGGGGTCACCGGGGTCGGCGCAATGCATAATTTGTTTGCATTGCCATTCTTGCGCTGCAACATGGTTGAGTATCTCACGCAGCGTGGACACCGATGCTACGCACTCACTCCTCGTTGGGGTAGTCATCCTACTGTTGCCCAAAAGAGCACTGTGTTTGACAGTCGTCTTGACGTCGCTGCTGCAATAGCATACATTCGTGACAGGGAGCGACAAAAGCCCTATGTGGTAGCTCATTGCCAAGGCTCTGTGGCTCTCTGCATGGGACTGCTGGATGGAACTATCCAGAGTAGCCAACTTCTCGGTGTTACTGCCAACTCAGTCTTCATGAACCAGGTCTTTGGGTATTGGAATTCCCTCAAAGGAAGAACGCCTCTGCTGATCCAGTTGTATGAATTATTGGCTGGGAATTACTTCCCGATAGTCACCAGTGTTAAGAGTGTTCTTTTCCAACGATTACTCGATACTCTCCTTCGTTTCTATCCTGTTGGCCACCCGAAAGACCTCTGCACGTCTACGGCTTGTCACCGGACATCTTTCGCTTTTGGGTTGCTATGGAATCATGAGAACCTTGATATGGGTCTTCATGACAACATTCACCAATTTTTCGCGGGGACCCATGCAAAGCTTATGAAGCAAGTGGTTCGCTGTGGAACTCGGGGAGTCTGTTTGGATAATGATTCATGTCCCCTTCTGACAGCTGAGAATTTGCAACGGTTGCAGGGGTTACCAATTCTCTTTATCTCGGGTACGGAGAACCAAGTATTTAGTCCTGAGTCTACCCTCAAGGACTATGAGTTGTTGCGACGAAAATTTGGCGAGAGACTTTATCGCAGATTTCTAGCCGAGGGATACGGGCATCTTGATCCTATTATGGGGAAACGGGCGGCCGAGGATGTATATTGGAGGATCTTTGCGCATTTGGGATGGTGCACCAAAGAGATGGAAGATATGGATTTGCAAGAATGAGGAGAGAGAGAGAGAGCCATTGAAGTTGAAGGGATACACATAGGGAGGGCTACACCGCCGCGGTTCTGCAGGAATTCAAATGTCCACCCCCTTGAAGCCATTCAAGGCCTCTTCATCAACATTTCTGATATGTACTTTGATTCAGATGGCGAAAAGGCAACTGACTGGGCCATTGCAACATTGGAGAACTGTATAGCTCCAAAATGAGCCCACGTATATTTTGTATAGCTCACATAACCTACAACATCCTACCACCATTCCAGCCCTGACCAAGTGAATCCTGCAGTCTTCCACATACAAAGTGGATCAATTTAGACTACTCCGCCACAAATCCAGATCAACCAATAGGATCGATGAATCTATACTCGTGTGTGGGCCCCCAATCATTCGCAGTCGCTTGGATAACCTCGCTGCCCTTACATTCCCGGGAAGGCGAATTAAACGACCCACAAGCCGTGAACCAAACTTGCGCCATAATGGGTCGAAGAATTTGCTGTCGAAACCGACAACCCCCCCAAAAGTACACCTAGACATACCCAAAGCACCCAATCCATCATGTCCGAAGTCGTATATATCACCACAGAACCCTCAGACCGGATTCGCGTAAAAGGAGTCACCCAGACACCCGATTGGATCCACCCGCAGCTAATTGAAAGCACCGACGCGATCAAAGGTCGCCAATTCCGCGTTTCCGGTCCCATTTCCAAAGGCGCCTGTCTCCTCGTCGATTCCCCCTACGCAGTCATCCCCGTCGTCGACGAACCCGCCCACAACGACAATCTCATCTGCAGCAATCCTGCTTGTAATCGTCCGGCAGCTTGCCATGTCCGGACTCCATGTCCGAATGCCTGTATCTCGGATGTGACGTGGTGCGGAAGCACATGTCGTGACGCAGATAGTCTTCGACATGGGTTTGAATGCGCTTGGCTCAAACGCTATGCGGGGACTATTCGGTCTAAATGGAGTGAATATGATTTTGGCATGCTGTGGGTGGTTCTTCGGTTGCTTGCTGCGCGACACTGTCAATTGCATGATGGGAGAGATAGAGATGTTGGCGTTGAGTCGATGGGGCATTGGAAACATGGTTGGAGTGGCATTGAATCGCTCTGTGGTTCGGAAGATACTTGGCCTCATGACAAGGTCCGATCTTGGTCTGCTCTTGTGAAGAAGTATTTGAAGAGTAACCCCACTCTTCCTCATGAGATGAGTGCAGATCGTGTTCTTCGTCTCATTTGTCAGGAAGAGGCAAACTCATTTGGTCTCTACCCACGAGAAACAGGCATTTTCCCCCTGCCGAACCCTCCTGTTGACAGAGGGGAGCAATTCGCTGCAGCTGTTTATCCCACTGCGGCAATAGCTAATCATTCGTGTCTGCCAAATGTAAGTGAAATTCTTCCCCTGGGTGCGAATTTGTGAAAGTAAAATACTAATTCACCACAAGATCATCCACAAAGCTGACGATAAAGGCCGCATGGTCTTTACCGCCTCCCGCGACATTCTTCCAGGCGAGGAATGTTGCATCTCGTACTTCGATCTGACACAATATACTGATCTTACTTCGCGTCGCGAGCATCTTCGGAACTCGTTCCGTTTTGTGTGCCAGTGTGAACGATGTGTTTCTGAAGAGTTTACAGAGGAATCAACAGGATGGACTGCAATGCCAATGATGGATATGTGAAAATGACTGACTATAAAACGACTAGATCTATAGAAACTTACTAGAGAGCATTATACCACAATACAACTTTTCATTTAAGAACACACAGCCATGTATTGAACACACGATATAAAGCTTGCAAGTGAATTGTTTTATTTCTATCTGCCCCAAAGCGCAAATGGCGCATGTTCCATATCCCAAGCCTCCAGCCATATCCTCCCAATAAAATCCCCATCCCAATCCGAATTCACAATCCGCCATCCCAATCCATACAAAAAAAAAAAAGACATCTAAACAAAGAGACCCCAATCACAAATCTCCAATCTTCCAATCAAAGCCCCAATAGTCTCCTCCGCAACAACCTCTTCAAGCGACAAACCCCTCGGGTCACCACTCTTATCGAACTCCTCATGCGGCACATTAAAGAAGACCAACAAATCCGTCTCCTGCGCCTCTAGCCTAACAAGCAAGAAATGACACGTCAATCTCGAAACCTGCGGCAAACCATTAGAAACCCCATTCGTCTGCGCACCCAACACCCCACCATCCGCAACACCAGCAGCAGACCCATCAACAGACGCAGGGACACGTCCACCGCTACCGCGCACCGGCGTCGTGAAGGAGACAACGCCGCGATACGCCTTGATAGCGGAAGCGGGGGTAGACGAGGGCGAAGCAAGTTGGACTTCGACGCGCGTGGGCGATGTGATCACCTGCATGGTGTCGCCTTCGTCGCAGAGATCGTGCAGGTGGTACAGGGCGGCTGCTTGGTCGACTGTTTCTGCTGTTGCGGGCGCTGCGCTGCCGCTGCCTGGGGCGGCGGTGGGTTGTTGGTGGCTGAGCGCGGTGAAGGTGTTTAGTGCTTCGGCTTGCGGGACGCGCTGGTTAATTTCGATAATTAGGTTGGAGAGGGTTGTTGGTGAGAGCCATAGCTCTTGGTGGTCGGGGACCTCGCGGAGGGTGCTGGGATTGGGGCGTTAGTTTGGGGTTTATGTTTATGTTTGATTGGGAAGTTCTGGGATACCATTGGGAATGGATTGAAGGAATAAAATGGGAATTTGATGCATAGGAAGGTTGTATACTAACCTTGAATCAATCCAGCCTTGGGGCACAACGCCACGAATGGCGCCGCCGAAGAAGTCTTGCTCTGTGAATTGAGACATGGTGGAATTGATATGTTGTGATTGTAAGATGAAGGGAATGATTTTTATCTTTCTTCTTTCTTCTTTCTTCTTTCTTTTCGAAAGGATGTTCTGCTGTGCAAGATCAAACCCAAGTTCTTCAAGATAGATTGCGGATTTTTTTGCCGGTCCGTTTTTTTGAAATTCAACAACGTAGTAGAAGGCAAGCAATATTGGAGAGTAGCACTGATTAACAGAGACTATATAGTTCCTAAATGGAGAATATCCTTTTATGTTGTAGGTAGACGAGTAGACGAGCAGACGTGCATGAGGCAACAAGTGCGGGCGGGTGTTTTCCGCCCAATGACGTTGGGCGATTTGGCGATTTGGCGGGGTGTTGACTCAAAATATACGAAACTACGAAACTACGAAACTACGAGCTACGAGCTACGAGCTATATTAACCGAATTTTGAGTCAAAAACATAAGGAATTTGAGTCATGATAGTCATTATTCTGGATTTCATTTTAAATTGAAAAGGCGAAGTAAGTCAGTCCCCTTGGAGAGCGGAGTCGGGTTTCGCCATTCACTCAAATAGTTCCTCCACATAAGGGTCCAACTCGATCAGCTTGAAGCGTTCTCCCCACCGAGTCCGAAACTCCTTCCTTCGGTAAGCATAGCTTGTTCCCTGCAAGAAGCTCACAAGTTCAACATTCCAGCCGCGCTGCAGCGCGCGCTCAACCATCTTCATGAATCCACCAGAGAACTCGGCCACGGCCGCATCCCCCGTCGCCAAAACAATAGTCGCTGGGTCTTTCGTGTCCAAAAGGCTCTCCAAGATCTTCAGGTGCAGAATTTCGTCCACACCCTGCTCGACCCATCGCTCTCCAGAGGCGGCGACCATTTCAGGACCGCTAGATGCACCCTGAGAACTGGAGCCATGGTTTTTCCAGGACTTGTTATTGCGACGGGGGGTGACGGTCTTCGCCTTGTGCACACGCTCTAGGATACTGGTTTCGTAGCCGAGTTTCTCGGCTTCTTCGACCGAGGGAAGACGATCCGAGCCGACCAAGACTCTCTTGGCGGTCTGGCGGCCGCGTTCCATGATCAATGAGAGGTTTGCGAAGGACATGTGAACGCGACGGATTCGACTGGAGAGAGGGATATTGCGCGAGGTTTTCACCGCATCGTGAAATCCCACCATTATCTGAGATGAATTAGCTTCAGATGAGCTTTTTGGTTAGGGGGGACTGAAACGTACGTTTGACATATCAACAAAGATATGGATGGGAAGCGAATCAATACTCTCGATGGTACGGTGTTGCGAAATCTGCCCTACTTGAGACACGATTTTGGCATAGGCGGGAAAGTGGCCGAGGAGTCTGGTAATCAAGGTGGTTCTTCGGTCCGCGGCCGATATGCGCAAGGTAGACCGCACACGAGCACTTCCAGAACCAAGCTCTTGGTTGGTGTCGGCATTCAGTATCCAGTCATTATCCTCAAATGATGACGGCGGGGTATCATAACGGCGAGTCTTCGCGTCAGGCGTGCCGACATGAGATGGGACAAAACGGATGGCCACAGGTTTCTCAGAAACGGGATGATCGAACACAATGCTTGTGTCCGATTCAAGCCCAGCGCTTTCTTCCGACGTGATTAGATTGTTGCATGTGTTATTCTGGGAATATCTTCTGCGAGACCGAGACTTGGGTTTTGCCGTGGGAGTATCACTTAGATCACCAACTCTGGCTCTAGCAATCGTCTCCGGCGGGGTTCGTGGAATACCAAATTTCACATTGGTACTCGTTCCAGAAGGCTGATGACCTGATGGCCGCTTCAAGATAGTGAATGATTGACCCTCAAAATCAGTAGGAATATCTGTTGCCTGGGCTTTTGGGCGAGAAGAAGAATGAGAAGTATAGCCAGTGGCGGAGTCCTCGAGGACCCGGGGATTTGGCTTGTTGATGATGCGAAAGGTGTTGGACAAAACGGGGACAGATGTTTCAATGCCAGGGGGCCAGAGAATGAGACCTTCTTGGCCGGTGTTTCAGCTGAGGTAGGAGGCAGTTCTTCAAGCAATTGCCGAGCCTTCTTCTCCAGCTCAGACTTGATGGTCTTTGCGGTCCCTAAAGTTGGTGTGACGCCTGCAGGAGCGGGGACCCTGTTGAAAACCTCCCAAAGAGCACCAAAGTCACCAAGCTTCGGGTTACTCTGCTTAGATGTAAGATCCACGAGCTTACCATTGGTGGTGTAACGGGGGTCGCCCTTAGCTGGTTGTTCACCAAGCGAGGGGATTGTAGATTCATTGTGGCGACTAGGTCTCGCAGTGCAGCCATCAATAGGCAACCGTAGTAGGTCATGCACTGGAGTGAAGTCCCAGTTCAAAGGGGTAGGGGAGTCCGATGCAGTCATTGAAAGCTGATGAGACAGATGTAACGGGTGTGTAACCGGTTCGTGTGTTGGAGTTTGGATGATAGCAAATGAAAGAACGATGAAGTCAATGTCTTGTCACCAAGATAATGATCCAGTTGATGATCAGAGAGAATGAGACGATAATGCATGAAGAAGCATAAATCTTAACCACATACTGAGTCAGAACGAAAGGATGAGGAATGAAACAAACGAAGATGGGACGACCTCAGTCAGTTGATGCCCAAACGGGCGACGGAGACGGTGAGTAGTTCTGCCAAGTCTTCTTGACCGCCTGGTGTTGTTTGTTCCCAATTAGGCTTAGTTATTCCTGGAGATGTGGGGTACCTAGGTACATACATTATATCACGTGATATTTAGGCTTTACAGACTTGGCACCTGAATATCTTCATGGTGTCATCTCCATAACATCAAGCGAATCGAACGAACCGAGAGCATGAGGCTATTGGGTGTCACAGCCTGTATTTCGTGAAATATCACCTGCAGCTGAGCCTTAGGAACCAAGCTGATTGGAGGAACCATTATCTAATTTGGAGGTTGTGGTTAATCCGAAGTCCGGCTCAAATAGATATGTATACATATTATATTGCCTTCTACTTCAAGCAAAGTACACAGTTCTCCTAAATAAGTTCATTCATTATGTAGAGCAAACATTGTAGAAGGCCAAAGGATGTAGAGATGTAGAGAGCTGGCCTTAGTACCGCTCACCTATAGTGCCATTGAATCTTGTTGTCGCCTAAGCTGCCTAAGCTCACGCTCTAGTTCTTTATACTTTGCCTGTGCCCCTGGGGTATCCTTGGGAAGATCATGGAATGCCCTCACACGGCCTTGCAGAGCCTTGACCGTCTCTCGCATCCGGATAACGTTCTCCTCCTCCGCAATCAGCTCCTCAATGGTCGGCCCCCGGGGCTGAACTTTTTCTAGTGAGGCAATGCGATCTTGGTACTCCCCGACCTTGATTGCAAGTGTTTTCGTGCCGCGTGTCCACTCCGATGTCAAGCTTTGTGTATCGGAAGGTGTCTCATACGCCACATCGGTCTTCAATTCCTCAAGCTCCGCCTGTAACCGTGCCAGCTCTCTCTGGAGATACCGATGCAATGTGTCGACCTTCGCAATTTGTTCCTGGGCCTCGAACTCCTGAACCGTGAGCTCCACAATCGACTGTCCTAGATCCCCGGGATTCGGATTTAAGGTATTGCCCAGAGCTGCGGCGGAATCGGCAAGGTCCTCTAGATCATATCTTCCCTTGTCATCCAAGCACATCTCGACTTCATCAAGGAGTTGATTTTTCTGTTGTTCGTGGGGATCTTTGCGTTCGAACTCTTCCCGCCTTCTGTATGTATCAACAGCATCTTCGCGCGCGCAATGTTGTAGAGTGGCTTCTTCATCTGCAGCATCATTGGCTGCAGCTAGAGTCAGGAGGACGCGAAGGGTATCTTCATTGCGCTCGAACTTGGGGACCGGTTTGGGCGCGTATTGTCGATTGAGCCAGGAGTTTACGTACGCCCAATCTTTAGCTTGGATAGCAGCCTGGCGGGCCTTAGCCGGGGAAACGAGTGGACTGTCCATGGGATCGGGTCGTAATGCAATTCTAGAAATAAACGAATTGAGACAAATCAGGAGGGGAAAATAAATAGAGTGATATGTTGACGATAAGATAACCGCGAAGGCGGTCGATGCGCCAAGTGCGAGGTTGTCCTCTACTTCCCCTCGCCGACTCTCCGCTGCGTTGCTCGAACAACAATGACCAGCTACTTTCCAACAAGTGGCAGCGCCAGTAATGGCGCCAATACACCGACTCCATCGTCTCCATTGTCCCCGCCAACGCAGCGCCCGACCGCCCTCACCAATCGGTTGACAACGGTTCTGTCGGCATCGTATGCGGACTCGGACATTCGGGACTCCCTCGAGACTTTGAGCTTGAGGGGCATTCACAACACTGCAGAAACACGTCGGCAACTACGACTAGATGTGCAAAAAGAAGTCGTCGATTGCAATGCGGAGATTGTCAAGGACTTCGGGAAAGTGGCAGAGGTGAGACTCCTATTGCTCCTTTAGAGATTGGGACCCGGAAGTCTAATTCGAATGGCAATCACAGCAATTGAGACGGATCGGAACAGTGGTCTCAACCCTTAACCAGACATGCGACGATATGCGCAAACGAATCAACCTCGCAAAGCAGGATACCACGCCGGTACTCGAGGAAGCGAGCGCCCTGATGACACAGAAGAAAGAGACCGAGACCAAACAACAGCTATTGGAAGCCTTTTCGAAACATTTCTTGGTTCCGGAAGAGGATCTATTGGTTTTGACATCGGCCGAAGAGCCTGTTGACGAGCGGTTCTTTGACGTACTAGCTCGTGTCAAGCAAGTGCACCACGATTGCGAGGTCTTGCTCGGCGGCGAGAATCAGCGACTGGGCTTGGCGGTAATGGAACTGAGCACCCGGAACCTCAATTCAGCATACCAGAAACTCTACCGATGGGTCCAGAAAGAATTCAGGTCCCTGAATCTAGAGGACCCTCGCATCAGCAGTACGATCCGCCGCGCTCTACGGGTGCTGGCAGAACGCCCGAGTCTATTCCACAGCTGTTTGGATTTCTTTGCAGAGGCACGGGACTATGTGCTGTCCGATGCTTTCCACTATGCACTGACTGACGCTGTTTCCGGGGCCAATGGGCCCGGCGCCGGTGATCATACTGTCAAACCGATTGAGTTCTCAGCGCATGACCCACTTCGATACGTTGGTGACATGCTTGCATGGGTGCACTCGACAACTGTATCAGAACGAGAGGCCCTCGAATCTTTATTTGTTGATGACGGGGACGAACTCGCTCGGGGGATCCAGGCCGGCTTGAATAGCGAGCCCTGGTCGCGCATCGATGAAGACCAAGAAATGGTTTTTGATGGCCAAAAGGCACTTAGTGACTTGGTTAACCGCGACCTTACTGGAGTGTCTCGATCACTGCGACAGAGAATAGAGCTCGTCATTCAGAGCCATGAGGACCCTGTTACTTGCTACAAGGTGGTTAGCTTGCTCTCTTTCTACCGCACAACCTTCACCAAACTAGTGGGCGCACAATCGCACTTAGTTGACCTGATCCAGAGCTTGGAGAAGTTCACTCTTAGCCACTTTGAGACTCTGATGCGCGACCAAATCAGCGCTTTGGCGGGCGACAATATTGCCCTGACTCCGCCAGACGACTTGTCACCTCCACAGTTCTTGTTAGATGCATTGGAAAGCCTAGAATTACTGATGAAGACGTATGAGACTTCCGTCGGGCCAGAAGATTCATCCGCAGACGCGAACAACGAAAACCCGTTCACTTCTGTCCTCCGGGCCGCCTTCGATCCATTCTTGACACTAGCCCGATCCTCATCCGATGAACTCCAAACCACCACAGCGCAGTCTATTTACCGCACCAATATTCTCCTTGCAGCCCGCGCTGCTGTGTCACCATTCCCCTTCGCCAGCTCCACACACGTCCCTCCCATTTCCGCAGCTCTATCAACCCTACGCAGCGATCTTCTCGACACCCAACATCAATTCCTCCTCGACTCCTCAGGTCTCCAAACGCTCCTAGAGGCCCTGGAGCCTTTCTCAGATACCGCCGAAGATAAGACCGAGAAGTCAGACCAGCAGAAACCACAACTAGCCGACCTGACCAGTCTCTCAGCCTTCCAACCAGAGTCTTTGATTACATCCAGCCAACAACTCGACGACTTCCTCCCATCTGCACTTATGGACGCAACCGATAATCTAAAGCGTGTACAAAGCCTTTCCCTTATCCAGAGCGTCACCGAGGATGCAGTTGAGGCATTCTGCCGTGATTTCGAGTTCATCGAAGGCATGATTATTGCCGCTGATGAAGCACGCGGAACTGTGAATGTGGCCATTGGAACCGGGACCAGCGTTAGTGGCCAAAGTGGTAAATCCGATGGTAAGATAGAAGCAAGCGAGAATGATGATGAAGAGAGCGATGGTGAACAATGGAGTTTGAGATCGTTGTTCCCTCGAACGACAGGGGAGATCCGGGTGTTGTTGAGTTGATCTATATAACTTATTCCCTATACAGGTTGTACTTAATACATGTCTAAATGTACAATGAAAACCCCAACCTGTAGCTAGTTACATAGCCCCATAACTTCTAAGTTTTAAGCGCTTTTAGCTTCGCACTAGAAGTGACTGGGGACCCTATTAGGACGCAGGAAGACGCTTGACTCCCGTCTTTTGGTTTCATTGCATCCAAAGTGACTTGCTGAACTAAATAGTCATTTATATTCCAGATGATATGACAGCCCCGGGATTCGGTTAATACTGGTTCAGTACTATCAAGTTGATGAGATGCATGAGGCTGGTCGCGATCTAAATCTATAACTAACAGGTAGATCTAACACACACATTTGGCCATTTACAACATAGAATTTCCCAGATGCCATAGAGAGACAGAACAGACACACAGCATCCATAACAGGAAGAGGTTATAAAGAACAGAGAGAAAAGAAGAGTCGATATTCCATTCCTATAATCGTATCGAACATACAAAGTCCCCACCGACAAGGAGGATAGAGGAACAACCCAAGAGACAGTCAAATAGACGCAAGAGAGCAGAACCAAAAAAGTCCAAGATGAAGAAAATCCAAATCTACTCTACCCGCCTCGCTCGCCGAATTCTCTGGCCCAATCTTCATATTTCCGGAGGCCGTCGTGGGATACACTAGGCCGAATGGAATATAAACTTGCCTCGAAGTCCTGGAAGATAATGGCGCGGATCTGGTCCATCGGTGTGTGTAGGAGGGCCTCGCCCAGATTGCGCAGGGGACCCATGGCCGCATCTTTGGCGAGGGCTGTTATGTCTGAGCCGGAGAAGCCTGGGAATATCAATCAGAAAGACGAACCAGAAAGGAAAAAAAGAAAAGAAAAGAAAGGAAAGGAAAAAAGGGATACAAGAAAGGAAACAACATACCTTCTGTCACTTGTA